TTCTTTCTTTCTTTCTTTCTTTCTTTCTTTCTTTCTTTCTTTCTTTCCTTCCTTCCTTCCTTCCTTCCTTCCTTCCTTCCTTCCTTCCTTCCTTCCTTTCTTTCTTTCTTTCTTTCTTTCTTTCTTTCTTTCTTTCTTTCTTTCTTTCTTTCTGTAATAGGGTCTTGATATAGTCCAGACTGACCCTGAACTCATGATCTTGCTTCAGCCTACTGAGTGTTCAGATTGCAGCCATGTGCCTAGAGAGACACCATTACCCTGGTCTGGTAAAAAACCAAAGCTTGGAGAGAGTGAGAAACTTACTTGAAGGCAGGAGCTTAGAGCCAGCCTGTGCTACGTAATAAAACCTCGTCTCACTGGCCCCCACACAAATCTCTTCAAATGTCAACCAGGAAGAGCTGAGATTTTAACATAGGGACAACACCACAATCATGGTCTTTAACTGGTTTTAATTTTGACCCCCAGTTGACATTTGGCAATGTCTATCAAAGTTGTAGTTGTTATAATAGTGGGTGAGGGTTAGGGATCCTGCCAATTATCCCCCAGTGCACACAATATCCTCATGAAACAGGTGTGTACACTCCCCAATAACAGTAGTGCTGAGACCTGGAAACCCAGTCTGAATTAAGCTACCCCCTCTTCAGCCTCAGGTTTCAGTACCAGATACTCTTGTTTCTTTTCTTATAAATACTACACTGGGTTTATTTTTCTTAGATTGACTTTACATTAGTGAATTTAAAATAATCAACTATACTCTAACACTTCTGCCTACGAATTCATCTGGAGGATGTGCTTCTTTGTAATGCATATTGAAACAAATAAGACACTTTTGACAAATGGTGTGTATGTGGCGGGGCACCACCCCCAGTGCAGAGGAGCCACGCTATTGACCTACTTCCCTTCTGTGATGCTGCTTTACCTCTCCAGACATGGAGAATAAAATCCATCAAATATATGTTTCTGGAAGCAGGCAAGGCTTGCTAGCGTTTGCCTCTGCGTCATCTCTCCCTTTTTTCTCCCTCAAGGCTAACAGTTGCTTGGAAACCTCTTTGAAACCTTAAAAGCCACCTGATGAGGAAGATTAACAAACAACCCATTCAGAGAAGGGCCACAGTGCATATAATTTAATTTGTTGCAGGGCTTATGAACACTGGTTTTAAGGTGGTCCCAGGCAGCCCCCACCCTTCCCTCCTTAGTTGTTGGCTGGCACAACTTCATGCTTGCTGCTCTAGGTACTGCAGCCTGAATAACTGATGCCAGAGCAAAGGATATTCTTCTTTAGATATTGAAAGGGTACATGCCCTAAAACTGTAGCATCATCGTCATCTCTTTCATAGAAAAAAAGCTTTTATTAAAGGGCTATGTTTTTCCTTGTGATGTGTTCACGTGGATTTGTTTGCAGTGGTTTGAGGTAGAGAATCACTATGATTCTTCTTTATCCACAAACTTGCCAGGTGTTTCAGTGAGTAACTCTATAACCTGCCTCCCCCCTCCCCCAATATAGAAGCCTTAAAAGAAATACCCTTTTAGTCTTGTGTGCCAAATAGTCATATCCCCAATCAGGAGGTAGTGGCTATACTTGCTAACTTGTTACGTCCAGAGAAAATGGACTTTTCCTCCCCAGATTCAAGAGTGAAAAGAACACAAAAGATTTTCCTAAATATTTTTCAAAGGCTTGGCTCATGGGCTGAGGCAATCCCAGCAGTCACAGGCTCAGTTACAGCCACTGCAGACAGAAAGAGAACCGAGTCAGAGAAAAGCTCCTGGGGAAGGAGCGGAGGTGGAGGTTCTTCCAAGAAAAAGGAAGGCAGGGTAGATTTCAGTCTGCTTCCTTCTGAAGCGCAGCTCCTGCAGTTTTCTTGTGGCATACAGGGGGCAGTCTCTGTTAATTAAAGCTGGGAGCAGCAGCCAGAGAGTCAAAAGTCGTCAAGACAGAGACTGTGTAGAGACCAAAGGCAGATCTTGAAGTGGACTTTCCTGCCCAGATTTTGTCCAAGGTGTTTAAAAATTATGTTTTAAGGTCTCTTAAATCCTCCCCCCTCACATCTTGCAATAGTGTATGTGAAAGACAGACAGAGAGAAAGAGAGAGAGAGAGAGAGAGAGAGAGAGAGAGAGCACCTGCTTTTCTGTGAGGTCATTCGCTGTAAAGGAGTCCCTGATGCTGGTGTGGGTTGGTGAGCACTGGGGAGGTGATGAGCAGGGATGAAGATGGCAGAAGACCACACAGTAGCTGGGCAGGTTATCCCAGCCTTGGCCTTACCACCGGCTGGACAGAGCTCACAGAGATCACAACTTCTTGTATCCTAGGACGCCTTCTAGAAGGTCCTTCCCAGGCCCCCGTGTAGTTATCTGCCAACCTCAGAGAAGTCACAATGGACGAAACTCTGTCCCTCCTGGTTTTGAATATTCCTTTTCTCCTTTTGTCCCTTAATGATTTTTTTTCTGTCTCTCCCCCAACCCCAATGTGTATGTGTGTGCTCTATGTGTGTGTCTCTATGTGCTTTAAGTGTGTGTGTGTGTGTGTATGTGTTCTATGTGTGCCTATGTGCTCTGTGTGTGCATATTCCTCTCAGTTCAGGTGTACACGCATGTGTACCAGTGCCTGTTGAGGCCAAATGACAACTCCAAGTGTCACTCCTTAAGACCTTAATTTTTAAAAAGATTTATCTTTTTACTTGTTTGTCTGTGTGAATTTATGTGTACCAAGTGCATGCAGATTACTGTGGAGGCCAGAGAGTGTCATATATTCCAGTACTGGACCTGTATGTGAGTGAAAGTCACTTGCTATGGGTGTTAAGGACCAAAGCTAAGTCCTCTGCAGGAGCAGTGAAGGCTCTCAACTGCTGTCTCACCAGCCTCTCACCATGCCTGAAGCGCCACAGAAGCTTAGACCAGTGGGCCACAAGTCCCAGGGATCTGCCTATCTCTACTTCCCCATAGATGCCACCATGTTCTGTGTTCTCTCTCACATTGGTTCTAGGGATTAAACTCTGGTCCTCATACTTTCATGACAAACACTTTACTATTCATGATTTGTTAAAACCTTAATTAACTGAACAACTAGCTAACATAGTTCATAAGCAGCTTTTGTCTCTGTGCTGTGGAACACAAATGAGCAAGGCTCTTTTTTGTCATATTATTTACATGGCAGTGTTTGGAGACATTAAAAAATGTAAATATATAATAAATGTAGGATGAGCGTGTTTTAGGAAGCAGCTATGCCAGGGGCTCTGGAAGCAGATCTCTTGGGTCAAATGTTAACTCCAGCATTCACTCCACAAACCACCCTGGGTAGCTCAATCAGTTTCTCCACTTTCCCACTGGGAAGATAATATTTATTAAGAGGCAGAAGGTCCAGGGGGCCATTGTGCTCAGCGGTTCCTCCACAAGCCCCCAGGTTGCCTGGTACTCAGTAGACATTGGTTTTTAATAAAAGCAAGCTGAGGGGCTATGCTGACAGCCACAGATGAATGTCAGCTGCCATCAACTCCCACACCAATGCTCGTGTTCGCAGGCCGGACAGGGTGGTGGCGGGTGTGAGTGGCCAGTGTGACAGATATGCCTCCCCCCCTTATTTCTGTGATCCTGTTGTGAGGACGCTGATGAATTGGCAGTTCTCACCCTTTTCCCAGGTGGGGGATGGTTGGAGTACAGTCTAAGGCAGCTGGTCTTGGCTTTAAGACCGGGTATGGTCTAACAAGGTGGCCCTGGGCTACATTTGTAAATCTTGCTTATTCAAAGGGAGCAGGAGCCTAGCCAAACTCTTTGATTTGGAGAAAACTTTCCACACAGTCCCAACAAACCCTCCCACAATTTTCCAATTAAGGGGCTCCCAGCATAGCATTTTACATGTGCCCCAACTTCTTGGTCCTTTGAAAATGTCCTCCAAAAGACCTGCAGCTGGAGCCGAAGAGAAGAGAGCAGTGAAAACACTGTTCCGCTGTCCATCACCCAGCCGGCTGCAAAGAGCATACTTAGTTAATAGAATTAAAAACAAACGCCAGGGCATATGGAAATACAAATTTAGCTTTTCAGCTTTGATGTGCATCCTGTTCTAGGTGCTACTGAAGTCAAATCCAAGCAGAGGACAGGAAGAAGTGGGGGAAATGGGAGAGGGCCTATGGTGGTCTCTGAGGAATCGGCCAGGGGAAAGGGAGGAAGAATGCGCAGATTTGGAAAGGCTGAAAGAGATGCTGCGAGTCTAGGAAACAAGCTCGGTGAGGATGTCGGGAAAGGGGCTCCGTGGGGACAGGGGACAGCCTGCTCTGGAGACTGTCGCGCTCGCTGCAGGAACGACAGGGTGGCTGAGGATGAGTGCCCAGGCCTTGCGCTGCGCCAAAACTGCCGGCGCAGGCGGCTCCGCGGTGTGCCCTCCTGTGGAGCTCAGCGAACGCTGCGGGGGCGAAGAGACAGAAAGCTGTGGGTCCCAGGGGCTAGGCGAGGTCCTAGGAGAGACCTTCCAGGATGAACCGCTGGCCACCTCCCCCGACCCTCCGGCATCTTCAGTGAGTTCCCAAGCCCCTATCCTGGGATGCTCACCACAGTCCAGGGTCTTGACACTTCACCCACCTTCCCAGTTTAGCCTTTGTCTTCTCTGTTCAGGGACATCCCGGGCTTGCGCCAGGCAGAAGGGCGCATCCCTAAGGAAGGGCAAAGGCTGTTCCCGCACGCCAGGGAGGTGGAGGAAGATCCTGTCTACACTGCTTCTAGTGTGTCTTAAGAGTGAGCAAGCCATCTAGTCTGTCCCGATTCTCCTAGAGTCACCCCTTGCGTGATCGACAGATTGCAACCGCAGCTTCTGCGCACGCACTCCTAGGGGGGGAAAAGCCGCGGGCGGAGCCACCTCTGAGCCTTTGCTTGGGGTGAGCCGCACCTTTCTCCCCAGAGGTGCCGGAGGTCCCGACCACGGTTCTCTTCACCTGCCCGGAAATCCGAGCTGCTCTTCCGAGCCTGGCGGCTGCGGAGCTCGCTGCTCCTACCGGAGCGGTCTCTGAAAGCCCCCCACTCGCCCCCGCCCGCCCGAGACACCTCTTCCCGCGCCCCCGCCCCTTTCGAGCTCGCGCTCGCCCTCCCCCTCACTCCTCCTCTATCCGCCCTCCTCCCCTCCCCCTTCCCTAAGGCCCTCCCTTCATTCCACAAGTGTCGCTTAGCTCTCTCCAGCGCACTTGGCGAGCTGGCGAGGTGAAGAGCATCCTGCGAGCGAGCGGACGTGGGGAGCCGAGCCCCGGGCGGCGGGCGGAGGGGAGTTACGGACACACCGACTCTCCCTTGCTCTCCGCCTCCGCCTCTCCCGGTGGCCGGCAGGACCTGCACCCCGCGCTGGCCCCCGCTCCGGCTCCGTCCCCGCCCGGCCCCGGCGCGCTCCTCCCAGGCCGGCCCTCTTCCTCGGCGCGCGGCGCGCTGGAGGCGAAGGCAGGCTGAGCCCAGCGCAGTGGCCGCCGACCACCGAGCGCCCCGCGCCGCCTCCCTGCATGTGCGGCCAGCGGCGGCCCGCAGCCCCCGCCAGCAGCCTCGGCAGCTTCGGCCGCGCGTCCAGAGGCGGCGGCAGAGGCTCCAGCGGCGACCGAGCGCTCCAGCCCGGGCTGGGAGACACGATGCGCCGAGTCCTCCGGCTGCTCCTCGGCTGCTTCCTCACCGAGCTGTGCGCCCGCATGTGCCGGGCGCAGGAGCGAGCTGGGCACGGGCAGCTGGCGCAACTGGGCGGCGTGCTGCTGCTCACGGGGGGCAACCGCTCCGGGGCCGCCTCCGGAGAGGCCGGCGAGGGAGTCGGAAGCTCGGACGCGCCACCGACTCGGGCGCCCACGCCGGACTCCTGTCGGGGCTACTTCGATGTCATGGGCCAGTGGGACCCGCCGTTCAACTGCAGCTCGGGCGACTTCATCTTCTGCTGCGGGACTTGTGGCTTCCGGTTCTGCTGCACGTTTAAGAAGCGGCGGCTGAACCAGAGCACCTGTACCAACTACGACACGCCGCTCTGGCTCAACACCGGCAAGCCCCCAGCGCGTAAGGACGACCCCCTGCACGACCCCACCAAGGACAAGACCAACCTGATCGTCTACATCATCTGCGGGGTGGTGGCTGTCATGGTGCTTGTGGGCATCTTCACCAAGCTGGGGCTGGAGAAAGCGCACCGTCCCCAAAGGGAACACATGTCCAGGTGGGATGCCCCCTCTTCGCCCTCCTCTCTGGGTCCGCTTACCTTTCCCTCCCATCCCCAGCATCCCCAGCCACCGTTCCCTTCATCCCAAGGTCTCCGATTGGGAATGTCACCCAGGACGACAACTTTCCCTTGCAGCAGGGAGCAGAGGTTCTGGGCTCAGCGCAGGTGGGGGTGAACGTTGACTGTGGAAGGGGAAGGTCTCTTTTCGCCTCGCCCACCTGCTGTCTTCTCACTAGAGGTGGTGGTGGGAGTTGAGACACACAACCGGGTCTTCAAACTCTTGGGTTTTGGGAAGAGGATCTATTTATTCTAGATGCTCCGCTCTAGGTAAACAGAGTCAGGCGAACCTGAGAGGAAGTGAGGTGTGTGTGTGTGGGGGGGGGGCGTGTGTGAGCCCTCATGCGCGTGTGTGATGGAGGAGGTAGGGAAGGAGGGAGGAAAAGAGTGAGTGCTTCCTGCAACTCGTACACTAGCGAAAATGAAGCAAAGGTTAGGCAGAGTGCGCGGAGGGGGCGAGAACAAAAGCCTCCTTCCCCAGAGCGTTGAGGGCCCTTGATTGGAACCTCATCCCCTCCTCGTTCCTTTTCTTCTTCACCATCTATCCCTCTCCGTGGTGCAGCCATCACAGGGCTGAGCACCTTGCCTGGGTTGGAGCTGACTCCAAGGCCCCCTCCACCCTTCAAGCACCTTGATTCGCCAACTTTGCCTTTCGCTCTATTCATTATGCAAGTCCCAACCCTGGGAAAGTCGCAGCAGATGGAAGAAAGCATTTGGGGATTAATGGAGCTATTTGCCTTTTTGTTTAACCCCTCCCCCAAGTGTCTGAATTGATTCCCAGAACTCAGTAACTTCGGAGGTGAAGGATGCTACTGGAGCCCAGGACCCAGGGGAGAAATGAGGGGTTAAGGTGAGGTCTGGGCAAGAGAGATGCAAAGAGAGCTACTGCGGCCAGCTGACAGCGGGATGCCTGGAGCTAAAGCCCAACTGACTTTGAGTCTAGGCATTGAAGTGACTGCGTTCTCTTCACTCTGCATCCCCCACCTCCACGAAGGGGTGTGTGTGTGAGCGAACGCGCACGTGTGCAAGCGACCCGGGTACATGTCTAAAAATCTGAACAAAGAGACCCACCAAAAATAGGCGAAGGAACATCATCACCTCACTAGTAATTGTTTTCTATTTATATGAGGAAGAGTATCCGATGAATTTTTCTTTTCCCGGAGATAAGGGGTCTGGAGGGGAAGGTGGGGAAGTTCTGATCAGTTTGGGTTAGTGGAGAGTGGTGATTTCTTGGAGGCAGGAAATATAGGCCCCCAGGGCATTCAGGAAACCCGAACCTGAACCAGCCTCCCTCCTGCTCCCCCAGGTTCACTGTCACCTGACTCAGGAGAGAAGAGCCCTGTCCCGGGAAGTCTCCTGATAGTGTCAGGCGTGTTGCCAGAGACAGCCAGCTTGCTGAAGTCTCCTTCAGGCCTTTTTGCTAAGTTCTCAACACTCCCTTTTTGGGAATTGGTGGGGAGAAGAGCAGGCTTGTGGGGAGATGGAGCTACAGCTTCAGGCTCCCTTAGACTGGTACCCTGGTCAAACCAGCTCTCATTGATGCTCAGGGGCTCAGTGGGAACCCTGCTTCCCTGTCCTAACCCCTCCTCTCAGGCAGCTCTTTTGGAGGTATTGACTGGAGTTTTTCTGCAGGTTCTAGGCAAGGTCTGTTTGGAGGCAGCATCTAGGAGTGCCCAGTGCTGGGTGGCAGAGCTTTACCTCAGGCTCTTCCTGTAAGCATTCAGGGATTCCAGAATGCAGAGGAAGTGCTTGGCCTTGGCAAGGGAGAAGCCTTGATTGTGTCACTGGCAGCTTCTTAGGTTCAAGCTGGCTGCTCTTTGACACCACCTGTATTGCTGACAGTCCCTGTTGCTAGGGGTCCCACCTTTGACTTTAAATTAGAATGTGGAGTGGGAGCCAAGTACTATTGGGCTGGCAAAGCTCTCTAGATGATTCTAATGCTCATCCAAACACTGAGAAGGAAAAGAAGGCACACCTGCTGAGCACAGGGCTGGGTGCTGGGCACTGTGAGGTGTGTGTGTGAAAACTCAGTTCTCACAGCTAGCTTATGACACAGCTGCGTTTTTTAAAAATTTATTTATTTTTTATATTAATCAAAGGTTATTTACATTGTATCCCAGCCGTAGCCCCGTCCCTCATCCCTCCCAATCCCACCCTCCCTCCCTCATCTTCTCCCTGCCCCTTTCCAAGTCCAAGTCCACTAACAGGGGAGGACCTCCTTCCCTTCCATGTGACTCTAGTTTATCAAGTCTCTTCAGGACTGGCTGCAATGTTTTCTTCTGTGGCCTGGCAAGGCTGCTCCTCCCGTGTGAGGGGGGGGCACAGCTGCTTTTTTAATTCTCTGTTTACATAGGAGAAAATCATGGCACGGTGAAGTGGCTTTGCTCAAAGTCACTCAATTAGAAGAAAATTGTGACATCAAAGCACTGGGTCCAACTCATTTGTACCTGAGTGAGATGTTTTCTGGCCCACTCAGGATCGGGGGAACTTCCCACGGTGCAGAGTTTTCCATTCTTGCTATGGGGATTGAGACTCAGTATGTTTGGAGTGGGCCCAGCACACTCTTTCAGTGAATTTGAGATCTGGGAGAAACACTGGCCTTTAGTTTGGGAATATTTTACGAAGGAAGGAGTTTAATTCAAGAGAAAAGTGGAGGGCTGTGTGACTCTTTTTGCATTCGGTAGCTTGTTTTCCCCACTTGATTAACCTTTCTGTGGTACCCAGGCTGCCCCAGGTCTCTCCGCATGCATCACATGCTGCCATGTCCTTAATCATGTGGAGCCCAGTGCGGCAACTGGCTGATGGTGGCAATTTGCCTGATGGTGCCAACAGATCCTTCAGCCGGGACCAGTGCTCCAAGCTTAGCGAAGAGGCTGGTCTGAGGGTAGGCACATTCCAGGTGACAGTAACCTGCCAGGTACAGCCTCTTAGTGTTTGTCAGGAGCTCAGGGATGTGGAAAGGGGCATTGGTCTCATTTTTTCCTGGGAAGCACCTTGTCAAGGACATGCAGGTGGCAGCATTCCTCTGCACACTTTATCCCAGTGACTAGGAAAGTTATGTTTTTCGATGGAGGCTCCCAGCATGTCAGAATGCATGTTTGGAGTCCTTGGTGTTTGGTCTGCTTCCCTCTGGGCAGAGGAGGATGGAGAAGAAAGAGAAGGATAGCTACCAGGAGGGGTGGGGAGAACCCATGCCATCTTGTAAGGACTAGGGAGATGGCTCAGTGGGGGAGAGTTCTGCTGTGCAAGCGTGAGGACCCCGGTTCAAATCCCAGCACCCACATAAAAAGCCACACCAGTGGTGAATGTCTGTAGCCCTAGTGTTAGAAGTGTTAGCCAGTTGGTGAGCTCCAGGTTCAGTGAAATACCCTGTTCCCAAACTTAAGGTAGAGAGCAGTAGAACAGAGCTTCAGACACTGATCTCTGATTTCCACATGTCTCCCCACAGTCAAATGCACCCCTTTTAAGTATACAATGCTGTAGAGGGGGAGAAAGAGGGAGGGAGAAGGAGAACTGTGGAGCCACCTCCCCAGCATCATGACAGTAGCCACAGGCAGTCGCTGTTTACCGGAGGTGCGGCTGCAATGGTGGTAACTATGGCCAGCAACGCTCCTGAAAAGTTATCTTTTGGTTCTGCATAGTGTTACTGTTTATGTCTCTTAAAAGTTTTCTGTGTATTGTTTTTGAGATAGAGTTTGATCATATGGCCTAGGCTGGCCTCCAACTCGTGATCTTCTCACTCCAGGTTCCCAGGGAATGGGTTTGTAAGCGTGTGCCACCATAAGTTTCCACTGGAGAAAATGTGAAGATGCAAAAACCTTGAAGGGATGCAATGGCCTGTAGAGCATCCTTAACCTGAATCAGGGTCTGTCACCCTCGGCACCATTTACACCCAGGGATGCATAGCGACTTCTGTGCTGGGAGCTGCTTTGCACATTGTAGGGTGTCTGGCAGCATTCTGGACCTCTACCCACTAATTCGATGACACCTCCACACCTGCCATGATAGTAGAAATTGTCACTAGACACTCAGTTGACAGAGGGGAGTAAAATCTCCATGCTTAGAAGCACCAATCTTGATTAAATCAGCTTTACACTTTTGTCAAATTTGCTTAATTGTTATGCTTTCTTTCTGTTTCTTTTTCCTTGTCTCTCCCTTCCCTTCATTTCCCTTCCCTCCCCCTCCTTCTTCCCTTTCTTCCTCTCTCTTTTTCCTTCCTTTCTCCCTCTTCTTCATTCTTGCCTCCTTCCTGCCTGTCCTTCTTGCCTTCCTTCCTCTCATCCCACACCCACCTCCAGCTGAACCATTTGAAAATAAGTTGTAGACACACCATTCAGTCGCCACATACTTACAGCATGGGTCTCCTAAAAAAAACATTTCCCCCACACAATACAATTCCATGATCATAACTTACAAAGAGAACGAAAATGCCACACTGTCATTATGTGTCCAATCATATCAAAGTATCCTTCTCACACCATAGATGTCCTTCAGAGTTTGGCTTTAAGTCTGGATCTGGTAAAGAGGTGTTGCTGTATTTGGCTGTAAAGTCTCTTCCACCCCTAATATCCATGCTATTTTAAAACCAATTTCAAGTCAGTAGCTAGTATTGAAAAACTGGACCCCTCAGAATTCCAGTCTCTAATTTCCCGACCAGTCTGGGAGATCTGTGACCCTGCATCTGGAGTTTTCACCTAGCAACCACTGTTTGTGTCAGGTAGTGACCTTCCCCTTAAGACAGAGATTTTTGGTCTATCTCAGTCACTGACTGCCCTCCCAACTCACTTACCATGTCACCTGTAGACCCTGGAGAGTCATGAATGACACATGTTCCCAGTAGATGTAGTGAAGTCTCTTAATATTTGGGTGACCTTGGGAAGGCTGCTTCACATTTCGGATATTCCACTTCTCATCTGCAGGTTGAGAATTTGCTGTGAAAC